CGGCGTCGGCGTCAGCGTACACCAGGTAGCCGCTGAAGGTGGCGCCGGGAGCGCCCAGCGCATATTGCGGAGCGCCGTGCAGCCGCAGCCACACTGTGTCGCCATAGTCGAGCTGCAGCATGGCGCTCTGGCTGGCAGCGCGCCGCGCGCCCGGCCGCCGCTGCTCGTCGAAAGCCAGCGCCTGCACCTCGTCGCGGTTGCGCACCAGCATCACCGACAGGCTCTTGTGCGGGGCCTTGCCGGCAGTGAAGGAAAAGAAGTAGGCGCCGGGCACGCGGCAGCGGAACCTCCCGGTGGCCGCATCGAAGTCGCCCCCGATGTTCACGTACACCTTGTCGAAGGTCACCGCCATTTCCGACGTGCCCTCCAGCGGGGTGGTGCGAGCTGCGGAGAAGGCTGACCGCAGCTCTGGGGAGCCAGGGCCGGCCGGGCCCAGTGCCCAGCAAGCCGCTGGGCTTAGCAAACCCAGCAGGAGCAGCAGCATAGCACCTGAGAGGGGAGAGAAGACCCGGGCAGGGGAGAAGGGTTGGACAGTGCCTGCCTCCACCTGTAATTTCTCTTCCTAGCCTTCTCTTGACCCATGCATGACTTGCTCTGCTTCCCTTCACTAGGCCAGTACTTCTCACTTAAGGTACTTCAGTGTCGGCTGGAGGGCTTATTATAGCACCCATACTTGTTGCAAGTCTAGTAGCATCTTTAGTAGTCTGATTAGCTGACCTAGAGTTCACATAGTCAGAATCACTGGATTAGGCCAGGCCTTCTCCAAACTTTTTTTTTCTTTTTTAAAGCTTGAGAATCCTTTTGCAAATAGGACCTGGTGCGCATGCCGCCGACATGTTGACATGTTCTGGTTAATGAGGCCTACAGCCCTGTCCTCTCTCCTCGCCTCTCCTCCTTCTCTGGATGTTAAGGAGGTCTAAGTTTCCAGTAACCAGTACTTGCATTCCGCTGCATTTTCCTGTGGTTTTTCTCTGGTCCTCGGCCTACCCTTCACAATAAACACTGGCTCTTTGTATCAGTTTCCACCATGACAACGTTTTAAATCTTACCTGGGAATGAATGGAGAGAGCGGCTCTCTCACCCCTTCTAAAGAGTCCCACAGGATCTCTGGACTCTCCTTGGGTCCTTCCTGCACTGAGAAGGTCTGGCCCTACGAAAACAGAATGAGGTAATAAAGGACTGGAGAGATGGCTCCGCAGTTAAGAGTGTTAGCTACCGTTCCAGAAGACTCAAATCTAATTTCCCAGCACCACCTAATTAATTTCATAGCCCACCTGTAACTCTAGATCTGATGCCTCTTTTGGCCTCCATTGACAGCAGGCATACATGTGGTACACAAACATACATGCAAACAAAACACTCATAGTCAAAATTTTGTTTAATCTTTAAGAGCTATATCTCCTTTTGTGCCTTTATGCTTGGAGGGTGGCTCCTGTGGGAAGGAAGGCACCATGGCTGCTGAGGAAACGGAGAACAAAATAAAATCCTGGCAGGGTTTTGGCAGAATGGTGAACTCATCAGCTTCATTTGGTGGAATGGAGTGGACAGACACTTAGATCTGAATACCAGTCTTGGGGGATAAGCCACAGCGCTCTGACACTGAGTCACACCCCAGTCACGTTAGGCAATTTTTTTTTTAACTCTCTGAGTAAGATTTCATCTGTATAAATGGCATGATGGAGGACCTCACACAAGCTTGTGGTAACATACCCAGACAGCAACTGTGAACAAGGTCTGTATAGGGACAGACCTACCCAGGTATCCAGACACTTCTGTTCCTACCCCTGGGAAAAGTGACCTGATCAAGTTCTTGACATAAATGCTTGGTGGAGGCATTACCCAGTTCCTGGTGTCTGCTGTTGGTGGGGTTCCATCATGCTCTGAAGTAGGCAGAGGTTTTGAAGCTTGAACACCCAAAGGTTCCAAAGTGGAGGCAAGTAGGAAAAGAGGCTAGAGACAGCCTGAGACATGAGCTTTTCTGGGAAGTGCCTGGGAGCATGTGTAGCCTTGCATCTCTGCTGAGAAGCCTGTTTGGCTGAGGACTGGAGCTAGGCTGCATTCCACTTGCCTAGCTGCTGGAGTAAATGCACTGCCCTTTAATTCTCACAAGAAAGACCTCAGGTCTAGGGTCCAGCTGAACACTGCCTCCTTCCAGGGGGTACTTTTCTGGGTCTCAGAGATGTCCTATGGGTTACTTGGTGAGGAAGGGAGGAGTGGTGAGACTTCCACCTGCCAAGTGCCTAGTCTATTCCTTTTTACAAAGCTATTTTAGACATTATAGATGAGCCCTCTCCCATCTTATGGATGAGAAAGCTGGTGCTTAAACAAGGGGTACAGGTTTTGGCTCAAGGTCATCCACAGAACATTAAGCTTTAAACAGATGGTTTTAATTTCATATTCGGTGCTTTTCTCTACTAGCTTTCCCTCTTGACACAAAGGCATCTCTCCAGTCGATGCATTTCCTCTGACCCCTTTCCCAAAACCAGAAGAGACGAGGAATGAGTGCTGGAATCTTGAGTAAAGGAGGAAGCTTAGCAAGCAAGCAAACAAAGGGAAGCAAGACCCTCTGTCATTTTGTTTCCTGGAAGGTGGGAGTGCCCCTCAGCCCTTCGGCTTTCCTAGCAGGCTGCTCTAAAAGCTCCTGCCCACCTCCTGCCAAGTCTAGGAGATCCATCAGTGCCTTTTCATACTCTACTGCACGTGTCCCTGGACCCTGGAGTCCTCCCTTTGACAACCCCTTTTCCCAGCAGGTCAGAGGGGGATGGGAAGGTGTCAGGTGGGTGTCGGAGCTCCAGCGAAGGAAATAGGTGCACAAAGCTCTGTCCAGGTAAAGCTCAAAATAGTCACCTTCAAAGACAAAAACTGGGACAGAGAGCTGGGTAAACCCAGAGTCCTGGAACCAATGGGGAAGGTGCAGCGATGCCAGGCTGAGGGCATCTTCAAGCTCCAGTACCTTGCTCCTGGTGTCCCAGTTAACCCCGCTCTCAAGCCCCGCCAGAACCCCCTCCCTTCTAGCTTCCTTGAAAGTCCCGCATCCTTTTAAGAAGGTGAGCCCCGCTTTTACAGAAGTAGCCAATTAATCTTTTCTCGTGAGGGAAAAATATCCCAGAAAGGGGTCCCTCTTTTCCGTTTGACCTGCCCTCCATCCCTCCCTTTGGAGTAAAAGCCATTGAGCCTCTTTTATGAAAAAGCGCCCAGATCTTCCTTTCCAGGAAAAGGGACCGGGTCCCTTGCACCTCCCGCCGCCCCCGCTCACATAGAAGAGAAGCCTACACCCCCGCCTCCTCTGGGCCGCCCTCACCTGGGTCGGCTTCGGTCGGAGCCCGCGATCCCGCTCCGCGAGGACGCCGGGACGCGCGCTGGTCGCCTGCCTGCGGCTTGGCCGGGCCTGCGGTGGTGGCGGGGTCTCGGGCGGCAGCGAGTTGCTACCCCGGTACGGGGAGGCGTTAGCGATGAGAAGGACAGCAGAAGCTGAAACCGAGAAGCGCAGGGGCGGGGAGCAGGGGAGGCGGAGGAGAGAGCGGAGGACGGAGGACGAGGGAGGGGCGCCGAGCAGCGGGGCCTGGGGCACGGTAACGAGCCTGCGCCGAGGGCGGGACCCTTCCTCACTCGGGGACCCAGAGCTTTATCTTCAGGTTTAGAGGGCAGGCGTCATTTATCCAAGCTAGCAGATGGGGAAACCGAGGCCACTGCAGAGGCCACACTAGGACCAGCTTTCCAGCTTGTATGTATGGGGAGAGAGGACACGAACAAGACACGGACTGGGCTGCAAGGACAGAAATGGATGAGGTTTTGTGTGAGATGGATGTCCAAGCTGAGTGGCCTTGGGGAAGGTCTGAGGGAAGAGAAGGGTAAATGGGTCAATGTCCTTAGTAAAGAAAGATGAAAATGCCCCACTTTTCCTTCCTCAGTCAGAGAATGCTCTTGCGTGCAAACAAGGCTGGAGGAAAGACAAAGCTGCAGACGTCAGTTAGCACACCAGTCCTCTGAAAAGGACAAAGAAGGAACAGGAAAGAGTTGAGAAGGGCGATAGAAGGTCCCTGTACGTGGCATGGACATCCCCTGGCGCTGTACCAAGGTAGCAGGAGTCCAGTAAGGCCTTGGGGCTGGGATCAGCATCTGCTCCTCTCACACTGACCGACCCCCTGTATAGTACCTTGACTTCAGGAGCTTTCCTAATGGAACTCTCCAAACTTACCTGACCCATTATTGGAGTACAAATCATTGCTCATTAAGGCCTGGGAAGTGATGTGTGGAGGCTCAAAAATGTGAGCCTATTTTCACCTTGTCTGAGAGTCAGAGGTGACTCAGAGTGCCTGACAGCATAGTTGCACATCCCAACTCAGGATGCAATTACCTGGTTCTTTTGACATTAAGATAGCTCTTACCAGGTGGTCAGGATGCGCAAATGTGCTTCTGCTCCTTCCTTTGTAACTATGAGGTCACCTGGGAGTGACTGCCTTCAGGATGGTGGTCTAGGGCAGCTTCTCTGCCTAAACAACAGAATACTGATGATTTGATGTCTCAAAGTGTTAAAGCAATTAATTGAGTTGTCCTTTGTAGCATGTTAATAAAGTCTTTTGTTACATTCTCCCCCACCCCAGCTGTAAGGACAAATAAATGCAGGCAGATTTCAGTATTCACTGGAACGCCCTCCGATGCTATTCTAGATACCATTCTATGGTTTCTGTTCTCTTATTTCTCACATGTCTCCGTGTTATTTACTAATATTTCTAAATTCCCACACCTCTACCCTGGCAAGAGGTGTTTTTTTTTAAATATTTATTTATTTGCTTATTATGTATACAGTATTCTTTCTTCAGTCCAGAAGAAGGCACCAGGCCTCATTTCAGATGGTTGTGAGCCACCATGTGGTTGCTGGGAATTGAACTCAGGACCTTTGGAAGAGCAGGCAATGCTCTTAACCTCTGAGCCATCTCTCCAGCCCGCAAGAGGTGTTTTTATCGAGGCTGGTCCACGACAGTGTTGGCCTTGGCTTCAAGATCCTCCAGGGCGCTGGGAAATGAAGAGCTGGACCGTCCTTGGGCGCCAGTGGGGAGGGCACAAGTCTGACAGCCTAAAGGTGTAGTTAGCCACACAAAGGCATGCACAGGAGAGTTGGGCAAGACCAGGAGCTGAGCTGTGACAGCTGTGTCCCTTGACATTGGCCCCTTCACCAGGGGAGTAAGGTGCCCTTCTGAGTGTGATTCCTGTTGTGTGTTATTTCTTTCAGGTGTGCAACTTCTGTTTATGCTGTATTTGTTTAACTCTGGGAAGCTGTGTTACTCTGTCTGTCTAAAACGCCTGATGGTCCTAATAAAGAGATGATTGGCCAATTCTGAGATCAGGAGCAGGGATAGAATGGGGCTGGCAGGTAGAGAGTATAACTAGAAGGAGGAATCTGAGAAGAGAGAGAAGAAAGAGTAACCAGAGAACAAGCAGAGGGGGACGTCAGGGGCCAGTCGCCCAGCCAGCTGCAGAGGAAGAAAGTAAGATATACAGAAATAGAGAAAGATAAAAGCCCAGGGCAAAAGGCAGTTGGGATAATTTAAGATAAGAAAAGCTGGCAAGAAACAAGCCAAGCTAAGGCTGGGCATTCCTAACTAAGAATAAGCTTTCATGTGTGATTTATTTGGGAGCTGGATGGTGGGCCCCCCAAAAAACCGAAAGAGTAAAACATCACACAACAGATTCCAGTGGTGGAAGGTGGGAGAGGGGAAAGACAGGACAATTAAATGAGGGCTGGGACTGCCTGGGGCTGGAAGACATTCCACACTTAGCCAGAACTCTCACCAGAGAAGTCAGGAGAGGGGTGGAGGGGGTACAGCATAGCAGTAGGGGTTCTTCAGGGTCTTGGGAAGGGTGAGGCCAGGAAAGGATGAGGGGGAGGAGTAATACTAGGAGATGGTGGATATGGGGCAGTCAGGAGTGGAAGACCATAGATACCAGATCAGAAGGCAGGAGGGCTCAGAGGAAAGAACCCAGGCTAGGATGTCGTCCTTGCTTGCTCCTACCTTGTGAGTCACACTGGCAGTGCTCTGCTCCAACACCTCCTCACCCGAGCCTGGATGTTACTCTAACTCCCATTTGCATCTCTCCTGGAGCATTCTTGGTTGTGCCCTTGAGTAAGGTCAGAGTATTGGAGAGCGAAG